CGCAACCGCCGCGTTCGGGTTCCGCGTGCGCGCCAGGCCCCCGGGTCTCCTTCCGCGCAGCGCGGGCGGGACCCTGCGTCCGGCCGGAGCCTCCCCGGTCGTACTTGGGTAGTAGGGGAAAACATGTTCTGTAAGGAGACTTTCTTTAATCTAGATTATTTCTCTCCATTCTTTAAAATGTTTGTTTCATTCTCACTTCCAATCCATTTCTTTTTCTAAATGTTCTTTAAGTTAATTTGATCTTTGCTGTAGTGAATTTTTTCTTAATTTACCCATTTGCTCTGCCACGTGCATGTTTCATTTTCCAGTTTTCCCCTGCCGCGGAAAGCTGAAGTCCTCCCTCAGTTTACACTTTAAATCCCATCTTTTCCAGCACCTTCAGTTTTCCCTTTTCACACAAATCTTCAAACTCTCCCTTTCCTCAGGCTTCCTCTCAGTCTGTTAAATAAGTTTCTCTGGACTTAATGTTCCACCTCTAATTCCCACCCAAATTTTCTTCTTTTCTTAACAGTGAGCCCAAGTTTTCTTCTTTTCTTAAGAGTCAGCTTTTAGGAAGAATCAAACACTTGGTATGATAACCATACACTGTTGCCCATTTATTATAAGCCATCTGCTATCATACCTATTACATACATATATCTCAAAATAATCCTTAAAGTGGATGTTGTTATTCTTAATGCCAAAGTCCCTTACCTAATAAGTAGAAGAGTCAGGATTTGAACGCTGATCTATGACTCTAAATCCCATGCTTGCAATTATGGTAATAAATTGCCTCCCCTCAATGGTACTACTTTTCAACTCCTACACACTCCTGTGATTTGTATTTTACCTTGTATTATAACTATGTCTCTGCTTGTCATATTCTAGAGAGACTGGTTGTAAACATCTTGAGAACAGCACTAGCTAACCCTATTCTGTAGCCTAGTAATTTGTGCTCAAAGCACATTTGTGAATTAAATTGGATGGAACTGAAAGTGCCTTTGGAACTTAGGCAAGGGAGCTGGGGGATGGGGGATGTAGCTCCTTTGCAGCTCCATATGCAGCGAAGGTTAGAGAGAAGCTGTTGGGAACCTATCACCCAGCGGTCATTATGACAATCCAGGTGAGGATAAGCAGCAGTAGTATGGCAGAATGAAGGGCTAGGATCTGTGAGAGTGGGACTGCCAGGTGACAGAAAAATAGCTCACAGCTACAAGTCATCCCCTTTCTCCTGAGGAAGGATCCTCCGGGTACTACCTGGGTATAAAATATGGAAGGCGAACAGGGTGGGATATGTTAAGGTAATCCAGAGAAATTGCTTTTAGGGAAATTCTCCTCTGAATTTTTCCAGGCAGTTGGAGAACTGTATCAAGAGCAAGTCAAGAGTCTTAGGTCCTAACTTTCCTAGGGGAAAAGGAAAAGAAAGTGGTTACCTGATAGTGAGAACTCTCTCCTAAGATCCAGATGGCTTAGACTGGCCTGTTTTATTGTTGGCTCCCTAGAATATGGGAATAACAATTCTGGTGATAGAAACTCATGTTGTGAAAAATGGGGAGTAGTGAACAAGAGGTGGGAGGATAGTTTTTCTGCTATGGAACACCTTGATGACATGAAAGTTCTTTTAGAGGGCAGAATGTAGCAAAATATCTTGAAATTTTAATCTTTTTGTTTTT